ATCGAGGGTCTTCCTCTTCTGCGCTGTCTCTCCACCCTCCCAAGCATGATGTCCCTCTCCAAGGACTGGTCCCTCCTTGTAACATGACCAAAGTATGTCAGACAAAGCTTCAGAATCCTTGCCTCCAAGGAGCAGCCCGGCCCTAGACAGCTGTTAAACATTCACACCACTGCCACTCCTTAAGGCCAGGCCAGAAATCCAGCCTTGCTTTTGAGAGGTCTCCATTTCATTATTTTGGGTAGGGACTTTATCACTCCTTTGATACGGTCTTATTCACTACTCCCATGGGAGACTCTCTTTCTCTCTTCTTGGAATCCTTCCCATCACCCCCAGTCATAAAAGAATCTGTCTCTTTCTTGAAAACTTCACATTTTTACCTCTTTTTACCTCCTAGCTGGAACCCCCTCAGATGAAACACTGGCCACTGACCCTCTGGGCTTAGCCAAGCTGACAGGCCCAGGGGACAAGGACCGAAGGAACAAGAGGAAGTGAGTGTGTGTGTGTCCCCGTCCATGCGTCTATGTCCATGTGTGTTTATGTCTGAAAATGATTCTTACAGAATCCTGGGAAGATCTAGCTAACATCTTGAACTTTGCCTGGGAATCTGGAAACTTCTAGCATTTTTCTTTTGTATGTTGTAAGGAGAGACCGGTCCTTGGAGAGGGACATCATGCTTGGGAGGGTGGAGGGATAGCGCGAAGGGGAAGGCCCTCTATGAGGTGGATTGATTCAGTGACTGGGATAATTGGGATGGGAGTGTCAGAGACAGTGCGACTGGCACAGAACAGAGCAGTTTAGGGCTGTTGTACATAGGGTCGCTATGAGTCGCAAGCGACTAGACGGCACATAAGAACAACAACATCTTGATGGGGAAAAAAAGATTAATTCTGTGAATATGTTTTCCATGTTCATTTAAAATGATGGGTGTGGGGAAAAGGGGGTTATTCAAAAAGACTGGAGGTCTCCATCCCCAGCGGACCCGGCCTTCCTCTCTCCCTTGCTCCAGGCACGAACTCTTGGAAGAGGCCTGCCGCCAGGGCCTGCCCTTTGCTGCCTGGGATGGGCCCACTGTAGTTTCCTGGCTTGAGGTACCAGGGTCCCGAAAATATGCTCTTGATTCTCAGCCCTTCTGACAACTTCATGTAGAGGGGCTGCCCTGGTCAACCCAGCACCATCTGCCTTTCCTGGAAGTAGGGGCAGCAGGGGACTTGAGAGGGGTCAGACTTCCGGTCCATCTATCTAAATCTAAATAGCTTCCCTTTCTCTCCTCTCTCTCCACATCCACACTCTGCTTCCCTGGCTCTTCCCACTTTGGCCCCTGCTCTCCTGCTATCTCTCTGTATCCTCATCTTTCCCCACGTCCCTTCCCCTCTTTCCTCTTTTCCTTCCCATGTCCTTTGCTTCTTTCTCTCCCCATCGCTGCCTCTCATCTGCCCGCCCTTTCTGTCTCTTGCCATCTCTCACTTTCGCCCTCGGTCTCTTTCTTCCTTGTTCACCTTGTGCCTGTCGCTGGCTCTCTTGTCTTTCTGCTTCTTCTCATTGCTGTCTTTCCCATATGCCTTTTTCTCCCCCCGACCTTCCTCTGCCCTCACCCCACTTTGTCTCCGCCTCCCTCTCCTGTCTGTCTCTCCTCCCTGTGGTCCAGCTGTGGGTGGGCATGCCCGCGTGGTATGTGGCCGCCTGTCGGGCCAACGTCAAGAGTGGTGCCATCATGGCCAACCTGTCGGACACCGAGATCCAGAGGGAGATTGGCATCAGCAACCCACTGCACCGGCTCAAGCTGCGCCTGGCCATCCAGGAGATGGTCTCGCTGACCTCGCCCTCGGCCCCTGCCTCCTCCCGCACGGTGAGTGCCCGGAGGCCAATCCCAGCCCTTGCTGCTTAGGCCCCGCCTCTTGTCCACAAACTGGCCAATCCTGGGCCTGCTCCCTTCAGCCCTTGGTTCTCACCTGCATTTCTGCGGAGAAGGGGACGGAGGTTGTGGGGGTGGGCTCTCCCTGCCTCCCCTCAGCCCTCATCTGTGCTCCCACCTGGCAGCCTAGGACTGCAAAGAGCATTGGCTCGCCCGTTGGAGAATAAAAATCAAATCCCAGGATGCATCACCTTTGGCACCTCGCCCCAGGGCCTTTGTACTTGCTGTTCTCTTTGCTTGAGTCACTCTTTCTGTTTCCCCTTGTCCGAGCTCCTCATTCTTGATGTCTCAGCTCAGATGTCACCATCTCCAAGAGGCCTGAACCAATTCAGCCCCTTCCCTCCTGCTTTCTCCAGCACAGTATCATATTGTAATTTTTCCTCATAGGATTTTTTTAAAAAAATAATCTTTATGCTTCAATTATTTTTTTAAAGAAAAAAATTCCTTCATTAGTATACAATTCCCACGTCCCTTCCCCCCACCCCTATGCTTCAATTCTTAAGTGAAATTTGAAACCTTAGGAAATGAATGTTTTTTAAAAGCCTAAAAAAGAAAAAATCCAAAACCCAAGCTGCTTGCCCTCGTGGATTCTAACTCAGAGCGACTTTATGCATGTGAGAGCAGAACTATGCTCTGTGGGGTTTGCGTTGGCTGATTATGTCTAAAAAGATTGCCAGGCCGTTCTTCCGTGGCACCTCCGGTTGGTCTTGAACGTCCAACCTTAAGGTTCGCCTTTGCGAGCAAGCTAACCATTTGCACCACCACCAGGCTACAAAACTGGGAGTGTGCGCTCTCATGGCTTAGTTCCTAGCTAACAAAAAGGCCATGCGTCTCTGATGGTTTTAATCCAGCAGCTGCTCTGTAGGAAAAAGACAGACAGTGTCCTTCTGTTGAGATTCATAGCCTCTATAACCCGCTGGAGGGTGGCCATGAAACCCTGTGGAGCGGGCTTATATATTTGACTGCACATCTGGTCACTACGAGGTGATCATTATGAGGTGGTATTGACAGAGGGCCACTGGTTTAGCATTTATGGGTTTGTGTGTGTGTGTGTGTGTGTGTGTATCTGCAGCACTGGAAATTATTTTGCAGGCATCATGACAGGTTGTTGTTGTGGGCTGTTGAGTCAGAACTTACCCAGAACTGACCCTCCAGCGGTTTTCAGGGGCAGTAAATCGCACAGGAGAAGATGACCCAGTTCCTTTCACAGAGCACCTGTCACATTTGAACCATATCTTCAGGTTGATCCCACAACCTCTTACCACTGAGCCGAAACCCTCCTCCACCCCAGGGTTTTCCTTGCCCTGTTCTGTCTATGACCGATTTCTCTGAAGCTTTGAGGGTTCGAGTCGTTAAGATCCCTCTGGGCAAACTTTGTCCCGTAAGCATTTCGTGACAAGTTAGTCCTCCAAATTACCACAGCAGGCATCTTCTAAAAATAGGAACGTTCTCCTCCAGAGTGCCCATACTGCTGTTATCACACCTAAGAACATAAATGTTATTCTTAACTTCCGCTACACTCAGTCTATATTCAGATTTTTTCTCCAAACCCAACTCCGAATATGCCCAACTCCCAAGCTCATGTTCTCGTGTGTGTGTGTGTGTGTGTGTGTGTGTGTGTTGAGAGAGAGAGAGAGAGATGCAATTTAGGTGCTCAGTAAATGATAATTCCTTTTCTTTCTGGCACTGTTTGGTGAACAGTAGCCACCCTTTCTGAGTTAGAAAGTAGATAGAGTCATTATTGGAAGTTGTAGGCCTCCAACGCTTGCTTCTTTCGTGACCCAGAAACCTCTCTCTTCTCCTTGATAACATTCCCTGCCCCTCAGTCCACAGGGAACGTGTGGATGACGCACGAGGAGATGGAGTCCCTCACGGCCACGACCAAGCCTGTGAGTGCCCCTGGCCAGTGGCCTTGGGAGTGGTACTAACTCCTTCTGGGGGTTGGGGGGTGGAGACTGAGCCTGTAGCTGTCTGTCTGTCTGTCTATCCCTCCCTCCCTTCCATCTTCCTTTGCCTGTCCCGTAACCCACCCCTTCTCTCCCCTCTTCCCACTAACGGGTCAGGAGACCAAGGAGATCAGCTGGGAGCAGGTAGGGGGCGCGGGGCGGGGCATGGGCGCATGTACAGGTTGTGCATGCTGCATGAACACCCCTCTTTCTCCAAGCGCCCCTACCCTTGCTGGAACACCCCATCATCACTGCCAGGGGGGTGCTGCAGCTCTGAAGTGTTTCATTGTAGTGGGTGCGCACTCATTTGAACACGTGTTTGTATGTGAGTGTGTGTGTGTGTGTGTGTGTAAGGCCGGACTGTTCTATTGTTAGCCTGGTGCACTCACTATTGTCGGGGGTCGGGGCTCCAGGTGCTATTCCACTGCTGTCACTAGAGGGAGACGCTGAGAAAGTGTCTTGTGTTTTGGTTTTTCCCCCCCTTCATTCTTGTGCTCGGGAGAGTGGAAAATGTATCTCTCTATTCAAAAGAGCCCAGCAAGGGGGAGTGGAGTACTTAGCCTGAGAAGTTGGGGGAAAGGAGTCATGCTTTTTTTCTACTTAAGGCAGGGGCATGAAGTGAAGCAGAATAAAGGATTTTGGGTTCTTGATTATTGTCCTAGGCTGTTCACAGCGTTAAGCCAGTATTTTCAGGATATTGGAAGTGATGCACGGATCACTTAAGCTTCGTTGGCTCGGTCTTTGGGACAGGGTTTCTCAGATTTGAAAAGACAAGTACTCAAGTCACAATCGTAGGTCTGGGATGAGGCCTGGGATTCTGCAATTCCAGCAAGTTCCCAGTTAGGCTGAAATTGTGGGCTCAAGAACTACCCTAAAAAAAAAAAAAGAACTACCCTTTGTGGGAGAAAAAAAACCCAACATGATTCTGAAGGGCTAGGAAATGACTTCGGATTGGTCTATGGTTCTAAGCAGAGATTAGCTATCCTTCTGTTATGGGATGCAGTTATGCATTACTTGGGGGGGTGATTGGACTGTACCCCTTTCATGCCTTTATGGGAGGGCCTGACCCCCTCCCCACCTGCCCATGGCCTCAGATCCTGGCATATGGCGACATGAACCACGAGTGGGTGGGGAACGACTGGCTGCCCAGCCTAGGGCTTCCCCAGTACCGCAGCTACTTCATGGAGTCGTTGGTGGATGCCCGCATGCTAGATCATCTTAACAAGAAGGAACTCCGGGGCCAACTCAAGATGGTGGACAGCTTCCACAGGTAGGGGCTGCTTGGCCAGTGGGAGTAGCTCTCAGAAAAGCCCACCTCTAGAGAGTTTTCAGCCAATGGGAGTGATGGATGGGAAATCTTTGCTCTTGGAGCCTGGGTTCTCAGGAAATCTTGTCTGTGTACCTAACACCAACCAGTAACAATGATCAATTAGGTATGGTTCCTAGCCAGAGAAAACTTGGTTGACTGACAGCACATGCTCTTCAGGTTAGTCAGTTGCAGTTGCTTGTTGCAAATGTCCCACCTCCTGAGAAGGTCCTCAATAGATCTGACCCAGTGGGGACACCAGAGTCAATGCTCCAAGGCCCAGTAGGAGAGACAGCCACTCGGGTTGGGGAGGTTCCTCTAAGACTCCACATTCCCTTCTGCTCAGGGTGAGCCTACACTATGGGATCATGTGCCTAAAACGGCTCAACTATGACCGGAAGGACCTGGAGCGGAGGCGGGAAGAAAGCCAGACCCAGATCCGAGGTCAGCACAAGAGTAGGAGGCCCTCTGGGAGCCAGGAGGGAGGGTTTTGGGGAAGGGCTTGAGGAGGGATTTATTAGAAGTGGCTCAAATACAAATGAAAGAAAAGGGGGGCGGGAACGAAAGGGGGATGGCCAGAAAAGCAGAGATGGGGTTCGAGACACTGCCAGGTCACAGTAGGGTCTGAGTTTTAAGTCCCTTCCCTTCCTAGACGTGATGGTGTGGTCCAATGAGCGGGTCATGGGTTGGGTGTCCGGCCTGGGCCTGAAGGAATTCGCCACGAACCTCACGGAGAGCGGGGTGCATGGGGCGCTGCTCGCCCTGGACGAGACCTTCGACTATTCCGACCTGGCCTTGCTCCTGCAAATCCCCACGCAAAACGCGCAGGTGAGCTGCTCGGGCCCAGGGCGTGCTGGCATCCCCCCCTCTGGAAGACTGTGACCCCCAACCCCGCTCTGTCTCTCCAGGCCAGGCAGCTCCTAGAGAAAGAATTCAGCAACCTCATCTCTTTGGGCACAGACAGGCGGCTGGACGAGGTGAGCGTGGCCGCTTGGCTCAGGTGGCTCCTCGGGGAACAGATGCGGCCTTGATTGGTGGATTCCAGCTTGGGGGCGGACCCGAGGAGGGTCGGGGCGGGGCTGCGAGGCCCCGTGACCAGGGGAGGGGCGGGGCCACGGTGAAGTGGGTGGGGCCTCCGCTGTGTCACGTTCCTTCACCCACTGCCTGGCCCTTGTACCTAGGACAGCGCCAAGTCCTTCAGCCGCTCCCCTTCTTGGCGGAAGATGTTCAGAGAGAAGGACCTCCGAGGCGTAACCCCTGATTCAGCGGAGATGTTGCCCCCCAACTTCCGTTCCGCCGCAGCCGGAGCCCTGGGCTCGCCAGGGCTCCCTCTCCGCAAGTTGCAACCCGAAGGTGGGGGGAACTCTCAAATGAGGTAGTCCCTCTATTCCCTCCTCCCTCCAGGGTGTAAACCAGATAAACGCGATACAGAGTCCCCGTCTTCAAGTTTTTAAAGAACCTAGTCTTGCTCCCCGATCCATGACAAAGAGATTGTTTTCCATATCCTAGACTCCACACCCCCTTCCCAGGGTGGAAAATGGACTCTCCCAGTGCAACCTGGGCACCTTGGAAGGATCCATGGCTGCAGGGGAGGGAGGACTGTCATTAATGAAATCCTGGGCTAGTAGAGGCAGGGATTTGGAAGAGAAACGCTAGGGAGGGACTAGGATGAAGATGTTCCAGGCTGAACCCCTGCTCGCTCTCCGTCCAGGCCAGACTTCTGGGAGTTCCCGGGCGGATGGCGTCTCGGTCCGGACCTACTCCTGCTAGTGCAGGCCTCCAGGTGAGGACTGTTCTGGGCAGCCTGGGGCGGGGAAGGGGGATGCGGGGTGCCACGATGGATCTTCACTGCTCTACGCACTGCTCGGCATCAATGCAGGTGACCTCACTCGGATGGAAGACGCTTCCCGGGGCTGGGCTTTCCCCTCCAGCCCAGGATATGGTCTCGCCTGGGACTGCGGGGCGGGGGAAGCTTGCTGCGGACTGGACCATCTGTACAGACAAGCGGGGGGGGATGCTCTTCCCCGCCTCACAAATGGACTGGGCCTGGACCAAACCACACAAACTGGACTGAGGAGGGGGAAAGGAGGAGGGCAGAAAGAAGTCCCTCCCCGCGCGCAATTCCGCCTCCATGTTCTTGACTTTGTAATTTATTGATCAGTTTTCCGATGGGAGACGGCGCCCTTGCCCTGCTGGGGGTTGGGGAAGGGGGACGAGGCATCCCTTCCAGGCCGCATGCGGGGAGAGGCTACCCCTCCCCTTTGCCCTCCCCAGTTGCGGGGCCCAAGTCTTCCTTCTTCTTCCGAAAGGAGGGGAGGGGGGACTCGCTGCTACAAGCCTCGCCCCCTGTGCCATTTGGCCCCGCCCCGCCGCTTCCTGTCACTGAGCCCCCCGGGTCAGCTACGGGCGGGGTCCCCTCTCCCTCCCCCCGTGTCTCGTGTCCCCGGGGTTCCCCCCCCCCGTCCCCCGTGCTGTGGCCGTGTCCGTGCCCCTGGGGAAGGGGATGCAGTCTTGCGTTCCCCATTTCCCTCTGGCTCCGGGGTTTGCATGGGAGAATCCTCTTTCCAAGATGCCACTGGGCAACGTGGCGTGGGGAGACAGGGGAGGCTGAGGACGGCGGGGGAGCCCTCACCCCACCCCCCCGGCCCTCAGTCCTCCTCGTTGCCCCAGGCGTCACTCAGTGATCACGGGTAAAGAGAACTGTTTAAAAAAAAACCCACCCCGTGTTGACTTATTTATTTTGGTAGGAGAGTGAGGAAAGCAACTCCTTGGAGGACCCAAGGCCACCAGGCCCTCCCTCCCTCAGACCCAGGTCCCCCAGTCTCCACCCACATTCCCTGATGCCTTGAGAATCCACACCCCACGCCTGACAGGTTCCGAGGAGCACATTTATTCAGAGAAATACATATGGCTCCATAAAGGAATAGTTGGGCCGCTCAGCAGGGTCAAGGTTCAGGACTTTCCAGCATGTCCGCCAGGGCCCTGGAGAGAGAAAGCTAGGTCAGATAATGATGTGTCCAAAGCCAACCCCAGGGCATCTCATCACTTTACTGTTGGAACTAACTCATAGAGGGCCCTCCAGCGCTTTGGTAGCCGTAAATCACATGAAGAGACCAGGTCTTTGGGTTAGGTTCTCAGGTCCATAGGATTACGGCACCAGGGCTTCCTCTAGGGCGTCTAGACCTTTAACCCACCTATTTCATGGACAGGGTGCCAGAATTGTCCTATAAACCATAATGGATAGTGCCTTTCCAGTCCCCTGTGAAAAGTGCCTTACACATGCCCTGGTCATACACTTACTGGTACAAGGACGAAGAGAAATAGTCAACATAGCTTCCTGTGGGCGAGAAAAGTGAAATTTACAGGATATTCCTAGATGCAATCCAGAAACTACTTTTCCCTGGGTTTAGGATCAGGGATGGCTCCCTCCATTTTTTTAAATGTTATTTTTTTAATGAATTTATTTTTTTTGTCCACTCTTTTTTTTTTTCTGATTCCTCCCTCTCTCAGATTAAAAAAAAAAAAAAAATCTTAGAAGGCCCTACCCATGTCCCTTTATGGGGTGGTGTTGTTTTCCATTAGCCCCGCCCCTCAGCCCTCCATCACTTTCCCCACCTTGGTCTCAGCCAATCCCAAGGTCCCTTCCGCCCTGCCCACGCCTCCCCTGTTAGCCCCGCCCCACCAGTGCCCCTGGCCCCGCCCATGCCCACCTGGAGTGCAGACAGTTTCACAGACCAGAGGGCAGAGGTAGCAGAACTGGCAGTGCTGGGGGAACGGGGAGAGGGGGGGAGAGAGAGAGTGAGCGGCAGGGCGTGGTCAGGGGCGGAGTCAAGACAGGGTTGAGGTGAAAAACCCAGACAGCTGAAGTCAGGTCTGCAGGGAGAGGTTTAGGCTGGGCCATCAGGAAGCCTGGGTGGAGCCTTGTGTGTGTGTGTGTGTGTGTGTGTTGGGGGGTCTCACCTGGCACTGGTCACAGTGCTCGCCCATGTTCTCCTCATCGCAGTGACAATTCTCACATTCAGTGCACCGCTGTGGATAGGAGAAACGGGCTTAGACCCACCTCGTGGTGGCCTGGTGAGTAAGGAGTTGCCTTACCACCCAAGACAGGCAGTTCGAATCCACCAACTGCCCCTCCCCTCCGGAGAAAGATGGACAATCTCCTCCTAGCCTTTGACAACTCATTGGCGGGGTGTTGGGGGGGTTTCAGGCATGAGTCGATCCCGACTTCACTCAGAGTGGGGGCCAGCCCCTGCCCACTGGACAGTTCCTCAGACCCCTTTTATCATTACCTCCGACTCTTCCTCTGGGTGCCCTATCTCGAGATGACCCCACAGTGCCCAGTCACTGGGCTGAACCTGTTAGGCGCTCTCCTTACACCCCCCCCCCCCATCTTCACAGCCTGTCAGTCCCCAGCCCCTTCCTCCAGCTATTTCTCTGTCTTTCCCAAGGACCTCCCTCTCAGCCCTGGCTATGCCGTGACCACCACCCCAATGTGCTGGCCTCCATTGTTTCTCAGGAGCCAGAACTGCCCTTGCCCCTCCACTTGCTAGATCCTTCCATGACACCCTAGGACCTCGGGGACAAATTCTAGGGACAGATAGAATCTAGGTGGGAAACTTACATTGCAGAAGGAGCAGTAACCGCACAAGGACCCTGGCTGGTAGTTCCCATACTCCTGGGCCTCTGGTGGCCCTGTGGGGACAGAAGGTGCCAGTGACCAGGCTGCCACGCTCTTCCTCATCCCACCCAGCCGGGCCACCTCCTACCTGTGTCCTCACCACTCTCCTCCTCACTGGAAGCTCCTGCAGCCACCTCCCTACTGACCAGGGGGTTGGGAATGATGGTGAACGGAAGCTCATCTTCCTCCAGCCCTTCCTCCTCCTCCTCCTCCTCTTGGTGGTCTCTGCTCTGGGAGACTCCAACAGCAACTTTTTCTTCCACCCTTCCTTCCTTCTCCTCATCTTCCTCCTCCTGACTCTGGATGAGGCCATGACCTTCTTCCTCATCGTCTTCATCCTTCTGGTCCAAGCTGTCATGATGGGCACCTTCCTCTTCCTCCTCTGAAACATCCACATCTTCTTGGAAACCGTGGTCTTCTTCCTGGCCCTTTCCCTCATCAGAACCTCTCTTCCTTAAATGGCTTGTATCCTTCACCCCCAGATGCTCTGGGAGCTGGTGGCTAAGCCCCTCTTGGATGGACCCTCTGTGACCCCGCCCCTCCCCTTCATCTCCGGGGGGGCCTTCTCTGTGGCTGGGCGCCTGGTGACCAAGCTCTGCAGAGATCTCTTCCTCTTGGGGGACTTCATGATGGAGGTGACTCGGGGTTGGTCTTTTATACTTATCTGCGAAGTCCTCTTCCTCACTCTGGTGGCCTTGGTGTCTGAACTTGACTGTGACTGCCTCTTCCTCCTCCTCCTCCTCCTCTTCCTCCTCCTTGTCGTCTTCCTCCTCGGCTCCAGCTCCGCGGTGCGCATGACTGGGAACCTGGTGCCAGGGCTGCTGCGCGGACGCATCTTCCTCTTCCTGGTCTCTGTGGTCTTGGAGTTGGTGGCTAGCTGCGTGGTGATGGTGTCCATCCAAAGTGTCCTCATCAGCTGTGTTCCTGGGACCTCGGTGCCTGTGGGGCTGGTGTCCGTACTCCTCCTCCTCCTCCTCTTCCTCCTCCTCACCTTCATCTTCATCTTCTCGTCCGCGGGCTCGGTGCGTGTGGCTGGCAACGTGGTGATGGTGCTTCTCATCTGAGGTGTCTTCATCGTAGTCATTTAAATGAGCTCGGCGCCTGTGGACCTGGTGCCTGTACTCCTCCTCCTCTTCCTCCTCCTCACCTTCATCTTCATCTTCTCGTCCGCGGTCTCGGTGATTGTAACTGGCGTGGCGGTGGTGTTCATCTGAGACATCTTCCTCCTCTTCCTCCTCCTCCTCCTCCTCCCTGTGCGCACGGTGCCTGTGCTCTGTGGAGAGCCCTTCCTCATCTTCCTCCTCCTCCTCGTCTTCTCGCCGGCCTTGGTGCTTGTGTCTGGGAATGTGGTGCTGGTGCTCGGCTGAGGCTCCCTCCTCCTCTTCCTCATCCTGGCCGTGGCGCCCTGGAACCCGGTGGCTGGTGCCAGGATGGCGGTGCCCCTCTGAGACATCTTCTTCGTTGCCATTTCCATGGCCGTGGTGCCTGTGGGCTCGGTGCCTGTATTCTGTATCACCGTCATCATCATCATCATCGTCTCCTCCATGATGGACATGCTTGAGGCCCGGAGGGTGGTGCTCGTCAAAGGCGAGGTGCCCACGCTCAGCAGAGCCATCCACGCCCCCATTCCTGTGGCCTCTGTGCCCGTGGACCTGCCACACCTGCTCTGTGGACACATCTTCATCTGAGTTGTTCTCATGCCCACGCTCGTGGACTTGGGACCGGTGGCCATGGCCGTGGTGCCCGTGCTCGCTGGAGACCTCCTCCTCTTCCTCGTCGCTGGGGCTTCTGGGACTGTGAACACGATGCCCATTCTCTGTGGAAACGTCCCCGTTCCCATCTCGGTGGGCTCCGTCCCCATGGATGTGAGGACCCACCCTGGGGGACGTGTCCTCTGAGGACCCGGCTATGCCTGCGTTGTTGTTCCAGTTGCTAAGTCCCAGCATGGCCCCTCTCAGCTGCTGGGTCATGGCCGGGGGGAGGAGCAGGCTGGCCACGGCCACCCACAGGAGGGGAGTGTGCAACCATGACCCACGGTGGCCCATGGGGACGGAGGGGCAACAGCTTCTCCCAGCACTGGCTCTAGCTCCCCTGTGGCTCTTGGGTGGATATCGGGGTTCTTCTCTCCTTTAGGGCCAGCCTCTCCCAGTCTGCCTTCCTCTGGCCTTCTCTGCCCTGCTCTGAGGTCTCCTGAGCCCCCTGACCCCCCTCTGGTCCCTCCCTCCCTCCTCCTCAGCCAATAGGGTCTCTCCCCTCCCTTCTCTGTGTCTAAATTTACTCTCAGCCCTGAGTTATTCTGGGTCAGTCCTCCTCTGTCCCTCGTGCTCCCCCTCTCTCAGCTGGGGGTGGATGAGTGGGTAGGGGGGTCCCACCTGGGCCAGGGGAGGGGAGCCAGGGGACTTGACTTTGGACTGCCAACAAGCTTATATTCAGGAGCTGCAGAGATGAAGGTTAGACTTGTAGCTGTCAAGGCAGGGGCTCCTGGGGCACCTTGGAGGACAGGAGGGACATATCTGAGAGGAGGGACACCTGCATAGGAAGGGTGGGAGGTTTGGATTATGGGGTGTTTCCAACTGGAATGGGATCCTCTGGTGAGGGGTGGAAATGGAGCCCTGCCCCCCAGCACACGTTCCCATGGCCCACTCCCTGGAACTACGATCTGGGGGCTTGAGGGACAGCCAGGCCAGGGCTATAAATATGACAGGGGACAGGGACTCAGATTACAGAGCCACAGCTGTCCCTGTCAGAGAGCGCGCCTGGGGACAAGTGGCCCTGCCAGTCTCTCTGAATGTCAGGCTCTCCCTCCTCATCCTCCCTCTGAGACTCCACCCCTTTATGGCTGGATCTCCTCACTCTCCTGGATTCTGCCAGCCACCGTCCTGTGGTCCTCGCTCTGTGCCCAAATCCTCCGGGATTCTGTTGTCCTGTATCTCAGTCTCTCTGAGCCCTGTTCAAGTCTCTCCCCCTGTCTCTGGGTCCCTGTGCTTCCTGCTATTACTACCTCCCTCTCTGCATCTGTCCCCCTCCCCGGGTCTCTGTCTCCCCCTCTTTCTCTCTGGATTTCTGTCCCACTTTCTCTCTGGACCTCTGTCCGCTTCTGTCTCTTTGGACTTCTGTCCCCTGTTCTCTCTGCACCCCCTTTCTCTGGGTGTCTCTCTCCCCTCTGGGTCTCTGGATCTCTGTCCCCCCCTCTCTCTGGATCTCTGTTCCCCTTTATCTCTCTGGACTTCTGTCCCCTGTTCCCTCTGCACCCCCTTTCTCTGGGTGTCTGTCCCCCCTCTGGGTCTCTGGATGTCTGTTCCCCTCTCTGGGTATCTGTACCCCCTTTATCTGGATCTTTGTCCCCCCCAGTCTCTTCCATTCCCCCCGCCCCCGTCTCCATCTCCCTCTCTCTCTGGGTCTCTGTCCCCACCCTGGAACTCTGTCCCCCTCTCTCTCCGTGTCTCTTCCCTCTCTATCTGGGTCTCTGTCCCCACCCCTGGTCTCTGGATCTCTGTTTCCCTCTCTCTCTGGGTGTCTACAGCCCCTTTCTCTGGGTCTCTGTCCCCCTCTCTCTGGGTCTCTGTCCCCCTCTCTCTCTGGATCTCTGTCCCCATCTCTCTCTGAGTCTCTGTCCCTGTCTCTTCCCCCCTGAGTTTCTGTTCCTCCCTCAGGTCTCTGTCCTACTCTCTCTGGGTCTCTGCCACCTCCCCCCCCTGTTTCTCTCCACCCCATCTCTGGGTCTCTGTCCCCCCCTTTTGGTCTCTGTACCCCTTTCTCTGAATCTCTATCTCCCTCTCTCTCTCTGGGCCTCTGTGTGCCCCCCCCCTTTCTGGTCTCTCTGTCTACCTCTCTCTGCGTTCCTGTTCCCCTCTCTCTGGGTCTCTGTCCCGCTCTTGGGTTTCTGTCCCACTCTCTCTCTGGGTCTCTGTTCCACCCCCCATCTCTGTCCACCTCTCTGTATTCCTGTCCCTCTCCATCTCTGTACCCCTCTCTCTGGGTCTCTGTCCCCCTCCCGTCTGTCACCCGCTTTCTCTAGGTCTCTGTCCCCCCCCTCCCCTCCCCCGTTTCTGTCCGCCTTTTTCTGGGTCTCTGTCCACCCCTCTCTGTCTGGATCTCTGTTCCCCTCTCTCTGGGCCTCTGTCCCCCTCAGTCTCTGAGTCTCTGTCCCCCTCAGTCTCTGGGTCTCTGTCCCCCTCTCTCTCTGAGTCTCTGTCCCCCTCAGTCTCTGGGTCTCTGTTCCCCTCTCTCTGAGTCTCTTGCCCCCCTCAGTCTCTGAGTCTCTGTCCCCCTCAGTCTCTGGGTCTCTGTCCCCTTCTCTCAGCGTCTGTCTTTCCCTTTTCTAGTCTTTGTGGTGTAGTCTCCCCTTTCCCCGCCCCTTGCTCTACGCATCTCTGAGTCACCCCACCCCCCCCAGACGCCGCCCCGCCCCAGCCTGGCCTGGGAAGTGGCGGATCCGGTTTTCTCTGGGCGGGCCTGAGGAGGTTTGTGGGGGGATGTGGGGAGCCTGCAGATCTGCTCTGTTTTTGCCGTGGCAGCAGCATGGTGGTTCCTGAGAAAGAGCAGGTACAGTGGGACCCCGAGACTGAGCGAGCAGGGAGGGCGCCTGGCCCCTCATTCCTCTGTGAGGACGCAGGGGACCCTGGAATCTGACAGAGGAAGGAACTGGGGACCCCAATTTCCTGGGGATCCCAAATTTCTAGGTCCTTGAAGAAGGTTAAGAGGGCATTGAAGGCGGAGCCCCTGGTCTGTAAAGGGGGTCCCGGAGTAGAATATGGTTTGGATGACCCCGTGTACCGAGAGGACTCACTGGGTCCTTTCTCCCTACCCCTATTCTTGTCCCCAGAGCTGGATCCCCAAGATCTTCAAGAAGAAAGTCTGCACCACGTTCATCGTTGATCTGTCAGATCCGGGGTAAGGCGATCTCGCCCCTGACAAGGACCTGGGGGAGCGTCCGGGGCCTCTCCCACCGGCATGCTGTCGCTGTGGGCACTCCCAAAGGCGTTCCCTTCGGAATCATCCTCCTCGCTCGCTCCCGCTCCATTTGAGATTTTTGTAAATGGATTATTTCAAGTCGATCTCTCTCAGAGACCCTGTAGGATGTAGCAGAACTGCCCCATTGGGCATCAGAGGCTTTTTAAACCTTTGGGGGACTAGAGGGTCTCATCTCCCTCCTGCAGAACAAACAGCTGGTGGGTCAAACGGTGGTCTCAGTCAGCAGCCCAGCGATTAGAGGGTGCCAGCAGGACTCCTGCGGGGGGGGGGGCTGTGGGGACACCCCACCCCTGACTGGTACCAGTCCAGGGCTCTGCTTTTTCTGTCTTGCCTGAGCCTCTTCTGTGTCTCTGTCTTTTTAAAATTTTTTCTTTTATTTTATTATTCTCTGTGTGTGTACGGTCAAATCAGATCTGACTGATACAGGAGAAGATTGACTCTCCTTCTCCAGAATAACATCTGGTGGATTCGAGCCACATACCTCTAGGATTGCAGTGTAGCTTCTTGTCACTAGGCCACCAGAGCCCCTGTCTCTGTCTTTTTGTACTTGGTTCTGTCTGGGTCTTTCTTCCTTCCTTCCTTCCTTTTCCTTCCTTGGGAGCACTAGGGGTTTCAAGGTTCAAGTCCCACCCGTGCCACAAGCCGGGTTGACTTTGGGAAAATCCCTTCACCTCTCTGGGCCTCATTTGTTGTCAGGGTACGAGTACAGGCCCTACACCCCGGAATTGTTGGGAAAATGGAGCAAGTTGATGCATGTAAGTGTCTGGGCAGTACCTAGCACATAGGAGCAAGGCAAACCTAGTACCCTTCAGCGGATTCCAACTCACAGGGACCCTGTGGCCCAGGGTAGCACCACCCCAGAGGGGCTTCCAAGGCTGGAAATCGTTTTAGAAACACCTTACTGTATCCACCCCGGCCCCTCGCCCCCCACCCCAAAAGCTGCAGAATTGAAGCTGTCAACCCTTTGTCTGGGAGCTAAGCACTTGAACCACTGCATCACGAGGGCTTCCCAGGGCACACTGGGAAATTGTTTCTGGTGTCACGCTCAGGCAGCGGTTGTTATACGTCCAGCTGCTGGCCTGGGGGCTGTGGGCCTGGCCAGGGCGTCTGCTGCTCTCCGAGGGCATCGCAGAGACTCCCTGCCGTTGCTTGCTGGTGGTCTCTGAAGTGGGCTGTGTTTTTCACCGCCCCGAGACCATCTTAGTCGTGTGGGAAATGTCAGCATTCCTAAGGTTATTTTCATTTGCCGTAGAGAAGGTTCCAAGTCCTGGCGGCCTCAGGTGTGCTGCAGAGAGTTTGGAAGGCTTTGGGCCACAGAGTGCCAGGCCTTTCTTCCGCGTGCCTCTGAGTGGGTGCAAACCGCCAACCCTCTGGGAAGTAGTCGAGTGCCCCGTTTGTGCCCCAGGGACTTTGTCCTTGAGATTATTTTGACTTCTAGCTTCCGTGTGGGGCACAGCAGAGCTACCCTGGGAGGTTTCCAAAGCTGCCGAGAGCTCTGGTGGTGCAGCGTGTAGGGCGCACCTCTCTGGCTATTTGAGAGAAAGATGGACAGTCTCCTCCTGTGTGATTTACAGCCTCTGCCAACCACGGCAGGGTGAGCTTCCAGCCAGGTGTGACTTGCTGGCAATGAGTTTTGAGTTTGAAATCTTTCTAGAAGCTGACCGCCTGTTGGTTCTCCCGCGCAGCAACTGGTGGGTTCAAACCATTGACCTTTTGGTTAGTAACCAAAGGCCTGAGTCCCAGCGCCATCGGTGCGCCTCTTCTGAACTTAACCAAACCCAAACCGGATATCACCAAGTCGGTCCTGATCCGTAACGAAGCTCCTTCAGGTTTCTGAGGCTGTTGCGTGTTTATGGGGAGGAGACAGCAGGTGAAGTGGCTGCACTGGATTTGAACTAGCGACTTTTTGGTTAGCAACTTGAAACACTGCACACGGCGCTGACGTAGCGTGTACTTTTTCGCAAGGATCTTGAATCTATATGGGTTCATGGACTCGCGGCGCCCCCTGTGGGTGCAAGCGGGACTGCTCCGCGGGGTTCGCCCTGGCTGATTCAGAAGCTGATTGATTTGACAATTTTTTCTTCCCAGACACCCCTGAGTGGACTGTGGCCTCCCAACGTTTCTACTGGCCCCTGAGCACTTCCCTCAGTCCCTGTCGGTGCCACTCAGGGACTCCTGTGCAGAACGGCTTACAAATGATGTTTAAATGAACATACCTAGTTATGGTTCCATGGGCACCACAGGGTACATTCTGACTCATAGCAGTTCTATGACGCAGAGTACAAGGGTTCCAGGGCTGTGGTCTTTATGGAAGCAGATTCCCTATCTCTTTCTCCTTTGGCGCCAAAGGGTGGATTTGAACCGTGAACCACTTGGTTGACAGCTGAGCCCTTTTAAGCATCGAACCACTGATGCTCTTTCTAGTGAGATAAGAGCTCAGACATCAATGGATGTTACTATGCCAATAAAACTTTATTTATTTTTTTTTAAAAAAGAGCTCAGACATCTTCTGACTGATGGGAGAGGTGTGACTGGTCTACCAGGAGGAGGTGGACTCAGGATGAACACTAAGCGGGGAAATGGAGGCTGTGGTTGTGTTCTCACTGGGCCCCGTGGAGTGGAGCCGAGAGGAGGTGTGTGGTTAAGACGGGAGGGGACACAGGCGTCACTAGTGGCTGTTGGAGAAGAGGACATGAGGTGACCTTTGAAAGGTGACTTGACAACCTCGGGCAGCTGAAAGTGAAGGCAAGAGTGGAGCATGGAAAATGATTCCAGGCCTAGGAATAGCATGTGCAAAGTCCTCTACCCTTGAATGACCATATAGCGTAGCTTGAAAAGAAGACTAAAGTTCAGGGTGCAAGGGGCATTGTCAAGAGAAGGCAGGCTGCAGGGGAGGGTGGGGCTGGGGCGCGCAGAGCCTTGAATGCTGCTCTGAGAGGTTAGGATGCCGGAGAGTCATGGATGGTGCAGGCTCCGGGTGTGGGGCTGTGTAAGAATGGTAGGAGTTTGGGAGATGGATAACGAGGAGGCTGAAGCCAGAATTGGAATGGAAGCAGAAGGGATCTGAGTCAGACCAGCACTGTGGGGACGGGACAGAGATCTAGGGACAGATGACGAGGCTTGGGGATCAAGGCATATGGGGGTTGAGGACAAGGCTGTCTCTTGGGCAAGTGGTCTGTGTTCTGAGGAGATGGTGGGGACCCACTTGGATAGGGAAGTCAGGAGGAGGGACAGGCTTGGGAAATGTTGCCAAGCCCGGTGTGGGATGATATGAATGGGGGTCTGAGGGTGCAGGGACAGGGATCCAGGGTGTGGGAAGCCCCACTGGAGTTGGAAAGGCCTTTTTGTTGCGTGGTGCTATGGAGTCGACTACAGCTTATAGCGACCCTGTAACTGTACCATCCTTACAATCTCAGACACACTTGAGCCCAATTTACAGTCACTGTTTTAGTCCATCTTGTTGTGGGTCTTTCTTTCACTCACCCTCCACCTTTCCCAGCAAGATATCTTTATTTCCAAGGACTGACCCCCTCTTAACAATATACCCAGAGTATGTGTGACCGAGTTTCACCGTCTTTGCTTCTAAGGGACATCCTGGTTGCACTTTCTCCACGACAGACTTGTTGATTCTCCTGGCAGCTCAGACGACTCAACACTCTTTTCCAACCCTACAACTGAAAGGCATCAATTTTTCTTTCCTCGTCTTTATTCATTGTCCAACGTTCAGATGCATAGGGAACAATTGAAAATACCATGACTTGAATCAGGTGCACCTTAGTCTTTAAACGGATATCCTTGCTCTTTAGAGAAGTACCTACAATCCACAAATGATTGACCTGTGTATCCACTAATGGGAAAGTTAGTGATTTTAATTCATCCGGTGATGCTGTGGCAGAAAGATCTGGTGATCTGATGCTGTAGGTTAAAAACCTGGGGAACACAACTACATTCTGATACACAGGGGACAACTTACAGGCTGGGTTGATTTGTTGGTGTTGGTCTAAGTTTTAGCTGATATCTCAAACCATGGAAGTGGGTGAGATATCCCAGGGAAATCATGCAGATTCAAACTGATAGTCTTATGGCCATTTTGTTCTTTTCTTTCTT